CTGTGGACGATGTCGGGTTTGCCCTTTGGGAGGATCTACTTAGAGGCTCATGGGACTTAGTAAGTAAGGTTATGAGTAGGTGCGAACTAGAATTAGGATAACCGGACTCAGGGGATTTATAACCCCAACTATAACCTACTTGCTAAGTCCCATGACCCTCTAAGTAGACTCTAGAAAGTCGAACTCCCAAGCTGGGAACCTATCCCGACTGAAGAATACGTTCTGGGATCCCCCTTTCGGGTTTTGCTCGGTTTGGGGTTCAGGGTTTAGGCTTTGGGTTTACGGTTGAGGGTTTAGGGCCGTAAAGGCTCTGCGTTGTAGATTCTCCCCGGGGTCTGGGTTGGGAAATGACTACTTGAAGGCTCATGGGACTTAGTAAGTCAGGCTATAAGTAGGTTACAATTAGGATAACCCCACTTAGGAGACTTATAACCCCAGTTATAACCTACTTACTAAGTCCCATGATCCTCTCTGTAGGCTGCCGGTCGCTTTCAACGCGTAGTGCCGTTTAACTCCAGGTGCTCTGGCTTCGGGATGCCGGCTTCGAGATTTCAAAGGTCCTTTGGGGGGGTTAGGGTTTAGGGTTTAGGGTTTAGGGTTTCGATTGTATTTTGAAGGGGCACAAACAAACGATTAGACTAGGCTCTTGGGGCATGTTTTAGTAAACTTAAGCGAAGTATCCTCAAGGATCCAATCAATAGCTGCAGTAGTGATTTCGGCTCCAATTTTTGAGCGTTCTGTGTCTCCTCAGGATTTAGGACCTTAGACATTTCCAGATGTTCAAATTGTATGTAAGGTGTAGGATGGACCTTACGAAGCCCTAAAATTTCAGTGAGGAGGCCTTACAGGAAGAAGGCAAGCAGGCTTCTTTTTTCATCGCAGAAGCTCTCCCTCTTTGCCACAACTGTCATGCCTATTGAGCCTGACAGCGGTTTGGCGGTTTGGCACACCAACGTCAGCGCGGCAGCACTGCTGAGCCCCCCAAACCTACCGTCGCGTTTTAACTGTGAATTTTTTGACAACATGATGTTTCTGAAGGCCTGACCCCAAAACACGGAATCCTAACCCCAAAGGCCCTTAGCCCTAAAACGCCAAACACCATGCACGAAAACCCATCAAAGCCCAAATATATTAATACTTCTGCTTCAAGCTTGGAATAAGGTGTAGACTAGGGTGCAGGGTTTATCAGGGTTGAAGGCTCCACGGTTAAAGCTAAATTCTGCATTCTAGGTCTGTTGTCCGGTCGGGCGGGGGGTCACGCTGGCAAAGGTGGCCGGCGCCAAGCGTGTGGCGGGCGTGAGACTGCTGAACCTGGGGGTTCGCTCGGAACTTTGCTTCTCGTCCCTCAGAAATCCCAAACCATAACATGGGGGCCGGAACAATAGACCCCAAAGCCCGATTCTACTAAGGCCCTTATATTGCACTCTAGACTGCAGATCCTGCAAGGCCCACTGGAGACTTCTTCCCCGAGCTTTCAAACTCAGGCACCCAGAGACTCCAATATCCCTTGACTAAGGAATATTCCTTAAATTATGGTAGGATCCCTAATATGACCTAAGGTATATTCCTTAATTAAGGGATATTGGAGTCTCTGGGCATACTGGTATACTGTCATAGACCCTCAAATCATGTACAAACTGTAGCATTCATGGTTTGGGAAACCGAACAATCGGTGTGCACATCGCTTTCATTCTCTATCTGACCCTGGAACCCTAAACCTTGAACCCTAAACCCTAAACCTTAAGCCCCTAGACTAGACGCGAAACCCTAAACCTTAAACCCGAAACCTTCAACCCCTAGACCCGAGCCTCTAAACCCGGAACCCCGAAACTGACCCTAAACCCGTAACCTTAAACCTCTAGGCCCGAAGCTCTAAACCCTAAACCCGAAGTTTGAACCTCAAACCCTAAACCGATGAGTCCCGAAGAACAGCCCAGGAGCCGAAACAAAGGCAGGTCGAATTAGGTTGCGTGACTAGGGAGCTCTGTGACTCCCAGGTCGAAGCCCTGTTGATAAGAACGATATTCCTTAAATCATATGAGGGATCCTACTACAACTTAACGCATCGATATATAATGTATAGACTATGGGTTTAGGGTTTAAGGTTTAGACTCAGAGACTCCAGTATCCCTTAATCAAGGACTATTCATGCCGAAACATATAGACTATGGGATGCCATTTTTCGAGCGCCTGTTATGCGTCTAATCGGACTCCGGAATATACTGAGAGGATCATGGGACTTAGTAAGTAGGTTATAATTGGGGTTATAAGTCCCCTAAGTGGGGTTATCCTACTTGTAACCTACTTATAACCTGACTTACTAAGTCCCATGAGCCTTCAAGTAGACTTCGGGATTTGGTTTAGGGTTGAGGGTAAGCGTTCGGAGCTGGGGTTGGGGTTTAGGGTCTAAGTCTAAGTAGGGTACTGACACACTCCCGCTCAAACACGGAAAACCCTGAAGTGCTCTACTTAAAGGCTCATGGGACTTAGAAAGTAAGGTTATAAGTAGGTTATAATTAGGATAACCCTACTTAGGGGACTTATAACCCCAATTATAACCTACTTACTAAGTCCCATGGTCCTCCAAGTAGAATCCTTGTGGCTTACACACCGTCGCCCCACCACAAATCTATGCCCTGGGATTGAAGGTAGGCGCCTCTATTAAGAACATAGGCAAGAGCTCCTTTCAGGGTTCCAAAAGGGCTTCTAGAAGAAGGTTTATAGGGTTTAGGGCGCAGGGCCTGAACACTGGGGCTCTGGCTCTGGCGGTCTAGTATACTGTATTTTCTCTTCAAACGGACTATGAGGATAAGAGTATTTGTCCCCAAAGCCCTAAACCCTGTAGTAAGGTCTAGGGCTTTGGGATTGAAGTTGGGTTGGTGGTAGCATTCTGGCATGTTCTGAATCAGTTGGATGTACACTTGTATTCAAGCAGTGAGGACCTACTTGTCCAGTACCTCCGGGAACTCCAAGAAGGTTCAAGGCTACCTACTGTACTTCTGAACCCTAAACCCGAAACCCTGAACCCTAAACCCTGAACCCAAGCCCTGTAAGGATTATAGTACCCCAAGCAGGATAAAGGTTGCCGGCTCTACTCTGCCACTACCTCAACGCAAGGACCCTTAGGCCTTGGGTGCAACAAGGCTTGGACTGTACTTCTCGGATCCTGAGTAGCCCCTTTGTATGATTCAAAATAGGATTTAAAAGGGATTACACGGGTTCCTTTGAAGAGATCTACGAGGGTACTAAAATGGTTTAGGGAAAAGAATACTACCCAGGACTTAAAGACTTCTAGAATGGAAAACACGCAGACCGCATACCGGACGAACATCTGCGCGGGACGGGCATGCGATCCCTGCTTCGGACTGCAGTAGGGCTGACGGTTTTCAAGGTCCAGGGAGATGTTGTTCGGGAACGTCGCGGGTTCGAGGTGGTGGAAAGCTGTACCGGCATTCATCATACCGCTAGTCCAACACAACCGAGCAGAATTCGCTTGCGGAAAAATGGCTTCAGCAAGGTTTGGATAGAACCGGGGGAGGATTATGTACGCATGCCCCTATCGCAAAACTCGTTGCCAGACGGATTTCGACCGTCGGCAATCATAAAACAGTTGGAAAGGCCAGCTGAGCTCCAAGAGGGTTTGGTCCTGACGCCTATCCCATGTCTCCTTCTTCTTTTTTCCAAATCTCGCTGAGAAGACTTGCCATGTCTCCGATGGTCCAAACGTAGCAGCAGCTGCAGCACTTGTCGTGTTGTTGTTGCTTGCTGCTGCTGTTGTTGTAATTGTATTCGCACGTTCAGGTTCTAAACCTTAGGCCTTAGGCTACAAAGAGCTGTTGTTGGAGGCAGGACCCGATGGTGTCCGGTGCTTCTGGGCTGGACATGCCTGGCCTCGCTACAGGGCTGCAATTGAAAACACCCGCGGCAGTGACAAAACAAAACACTTGGAGAATCGGCTTTTAGGGTACATGCACTTCCCGAAATGCTTTCTACAGGTTAGCTTCGGCATCGAAACTTTGCACCTCGATTGGAATCTCTGGTTCTGGCACTCAGTTCCGGTCGACTCTCTAATCGACCAGCTTGAAAGGGGTTCACTCCTGGCGATTCGGTCGGTTGACAGCTTTTGACAGGGCCACTGGCTGCAGTTCTTCGGAAAGAACAAAACAGCAAGGCACGGATTAATAACTGCTGGATCCCTTGTAACAGAAAATTTACGGATCGCAGAATTACAGAAACACGCAGGATGTTGCCCCCAGCCATGTCAGTACCATGCTACTTCATTGTCGTAGTACACGGTACCCCACACTCATTGACCCATTGAGGAAACTTTCTTCCAAAGGATTCAGGGCACTGGAGTTCGGGCCTAATGCATGTTTCGGATGTCACATGGCCTCCGAAATTCTTCAGGGCTGCAAGTTGCACTAGCTCGAGCAGAAACCACAGCTAAACACCCCCAAACCTACACCCGGCAAAACCCCCGCGATTTGCTTGTGCCATGTTGAATTGGTGTTTCGTTGCTTACGGGATTTGCAAGACTTCGGGCGTCGAAAATACATCAGCCGAGTATCGGAAGCGCTGAGTGTGTAGTCAAGGCTTGAAAGCTGCTGATCAGCCGCCGAATGTTCAGGAGCTTCCGTGTGCTCGAAACTCGAGCGTGGAAATGCGTGGAGGAGGGGCCTGTGTCCTCAGACGGTAGCCTTAATCTAGAAGATCTCACATGCATGTTGAAACCGCTAGTAAAAAATCCTAGTACTACTACTACTACTACTACTACTACTACTACTACTACTACGACGACTACGACTACGACTACGACTACGACTACGACAACTAATGCTCCTGCTCCTGCTCCTGCTCCTGCTCCTGCTCCTGCTCCTGCTCCTGCGCCTGCGCCTGCTACTGCTACTGCTACTGCTACTGCTACTGCTACTGCTACTGCTACTGCTACTGCTACTCCTACTCCTACTACTACTACTACTACTACTACTACTACTACTACT